AGCATGAAGCTATAGCTAAAAATTTTTTTTAATGAAACAAGTATTGCCACAGATTTTTTCACAATTAATGCAACATTTTTTAACATAATTTGTTCCGTTAATTTTTATAAAAATATGGTTTACATACAGCAAAAACCAAACAAAAATTAAATTTTGAAACTTTGTGCGAAACAAGTTATACTGTTCGTTTAAATAAAAAAAATCGCAAATTAGTAGAAATATGAATGAATTTATGTAATATTTATTTGTATTTTTATGTAACATTTAGTAATTTATTCGTGTAATATTTTAATTTGATGGATCTTAACATCACCCCTGATTCCTCGCCTTTGATTGTTTTTTACATCAGGCCTGAATCCTCATCTTTGATTGTTTTCTACATCAGGTTCGATCCCTCATCTTTGATTGTTTTCTACATCAGATCTGATCACTCAGCTTTGAACGCTTTCTACATCAGGTTTGATTGCTCAGCTGTGATTGATTTCGTCGTCAGTCTTGATTGCCTACAAACTACATCATGAATAACGAACTTTAGAACAGACACTATGTGACAGTCGATTTTAGAAGTGATACCAATCACGATCTCATCAGTGCAATCCTTAAACTATGAAGTTTCTGGAATGATATTAGCACTTAGCTCAGGAGCAACATGAGGCAGGTCTGCAGTCCTGCTTTAAAAAAGTATTCCTTCCAAATGATCGATCAATAATCAGTGTTGCCAGAACTTTTTGGGCCGACCGGCTAGATTGGCAAAAAAAAGCGGCTAAAAACGGCTAAAATGTTTTAGTGAAAATCCATATGCTTTATTTAAATAAATCGCAAGAAACGAAAGACTAATTAACACCATTAATTTATATCGAGTGTATATTCCTCATCATCAAATGAATCACTATTGTATATATCACCTGAATTCATTAACTTTAAGAGATCGTCATCTACAGTAAAATTATGGCAGCATTTTTCTTCACGTTTTAAACCGTATCTTATATATAAAATAGCGTTTAACGTTTTAACACACATTGGATTTCTTTGCTTAGTTTTTATTATATTCATTGAACTAAATATTCGCTCTACTTCTGCATTACTTATAGGCAAAACAAGAAAACTAAAAACTAGGTTGCAAAGGTTAGCGAAAGGGTTTTCTCCTAGGGCATTTCGAAATTGATAAACTTCGGCCCAAAAATTTACAGTTGAGTCTAAATTACTCCAGGTATGTAACGTTAACCGTTGCTATTGCATCTCTATGGATGTTATTTCGTCGGCATTATATTTGTGTTTTTGTTGCTGTAGTTGAACAAATACTTTTGGTTTAATTACTCTCCAACCGACAAAAGTCAATTTTTTTTAGTGTGGCAATATTTGTAGGGAGGCGTTGGCGTAATTCCTTTATTAAAGTGATAATAAAATACCGACCATTTTCTCGAATTATTTTCTCGGCTTCGTGGTCAAAAGCGTTTGTGCTTACTTTTGTTTTTAAATACTATTCAAAACTGTGATAAAACTGAGGAAACGGAGCAAGGTATAGTTCCAACGGGGAGGATATAGGATCAAATGTGTCCGCGCTAATAACCACTAGGGAGCATAGATGCGAAAGTAAAACATTGAGTTCATTAAAAATCTTCATTGGGTCTGCATTATTGCTTTCGAACAACTTGTTTACTTTTTGCACCTGAAAATTAGGCAAATAGTAAAATCGGCTAAAAACGGCTAACTTTTTTTTACAAACCGGCTAACAAATCGGCTGCCGGCTAGATCGAATTTTCTCCGGCTAGTTGCTATCAAAACCGGCTAAATCTAGCCGGAAAACGGCTAAAATGGCAACGCTGTCAATAATCTTAATATATTTAAGTTAAGTAATTAGTGACTCCCCTAGCACATTACTAACATGGCATTTTCGAATTATAAAAAATTCCCAAGCTCACGCATAATCGAGAGTTTCAGCATGCCAACTGCCTACACTTAAAAAAAAAACGAAAAGTTCATAAATAACTGTATGTGTCATTTGACTCAACGTTTAATCTTTTTTAATATTGCGATATGACTACTGATGAGCCACAACCATCAATACTACGCTGTTTAATTTTGTTTCTCAGTTTATCGCACATCTATGTCTGTTTGTGTATATGTACATTTATTTGATACAAATAAAATTAATAAATTTATTTTCGTAGGGCGCGCGGTTGAAGAAGCCTAAGAAGGCTCTACTTACGGAACACTATCGCATTAAGCCGCAAAACCCAACAACACCATGGTTTATCTACTTCATTTGTAGTGCTAGAATTTCCGATTCTGCATTCGAACGAAAAACAATAAATACAAAATTCTTAAGATAAACATAAAAATTGCTTTCTTTTTATTTTATAAAAATATAGGTACATAAAATGCATTGAATACAAATGCATATTGACGTATAAGAATACTATATCAAAATTTATAGCTTATGATGAATAGAGAATTAAATTCAAAATACAGACATGTGGAAGGCAATGTTTTGGTCTTGTAAGTTTTCTATTCTTTGTCGAGTTCTTCGCCAATATTATAAAAATGATCCCACAACTTACGACCGGGACTCTCGGTCGAACGGCATTGGCAGTGAGCGATAAGCTTATAATCAGGTGCCAAGTGCCCTTCCTCCACACCTCTGCAGCAAATCCAAAAAATAAAACGATTATACACATATACTACTTGTTTGAAAAATAAAACGATAACCAAAAAATAAAACGATTATACACATATACTACTTGTTTGAAAAGGTACCCTTTTTTGGAATAACAAACCTTATGAGGAAATTTTTGCATGCGTTCAGCGCAGGCTCACTTGGTAATTCGCGCATAAAACAGCCAATAATGCATTACCTACGGATTTCGAATTGTAACCGATTGTGTTAGCGCCCACTACACCCCATCCACGTCCTTCGTACACATTACCATCACATCCAACCAGAAAATTGTAAGCACTGTCATTCCATTCGCGTGATTCAATGTGAAAGCACTGAAAAAGGGGCAAAAAATTTTCATTTTACAAATTATTTGTTTGTATTGACTAAGTACTGATAAATTAACCCTAGAACACTAACGTTCGCCTGTGAGGCGGAACGAATTCGGTTTCTCTCGATATTTCAGGAACGCTTTTTATGATCAAAGTACGCGTTCACGCCAACTCAGTTTAGCGTGGTACGAGGTTGTTAGCAGACGCACATTGTACAGTGGCCTTGCGCGGCTGAGTTCCACGCCCTCTTGACGCCTGACAGACGAACTTATTTCAGTTTTTAACATGTTTGTTGGCTATTTTCGGTTTTGAACTTATTTTTTTACTTTTCGAGAGGGGTACCTATGAAGAACAAGTTTTAAAATGGTTGGAAGAAATATCGTTGAATGGAAGCGATAGTGAGGACAATTTGGAAGAAGATTTCAGTGAATGGGCCTTATGAATAATAAACTAAGCAGTTGCTTTTTCTTGAGATTTCAAACCTTTTGCTTGATTTATTCAAATAAATTTACGTCAAAGGTCTGAAATTTTAAGAAAAATTAGTTGCTTAGTTTTTATTCATAAGGCTCAATGTGATACAAAAAAGTCGATTTCATTTGTAGGTACAAGTCACAATAGAAAAGATAAACAATGAATTCCTTTTATGTGTGAAAGTAAATACGAATACCTTTAGGATAATTTATGGAATGTTGGAGTTCGTTCGTTTTAAAATATTTTTTTTTTTTAATTACCCCTCTCGAAAAGATGATAAAATATGTGTTAAATTCCAATACGAATTATTTTTATTAATATTAAAAAAATTATTAAGTTATTTTATTTTTTTTACTTTAGAAACATATCATATATGTTTATGTCCATTTTTAAATAAATTTAAGGTTTTAAAAAGACAAAATTTGTACTTTTTTCNACGAACTTATTTCAGTTTTTAACATGTTTGTTGGCTATTTTCGGTTTTGAACTTATTTTTTTACTTTTCGAGAGGGGTACCTATGAAGAACAAGTTTTAAAATGGTTGGAAGAAATATCGTTGAATGGAAGCGATAGTGAGGACAATTTGGAAGAAGATTTCAGTGAATGGGCCTTATGAATAAAAAACTAAGCAGTTGCTTTTTCTTGAGATTTCAAACCTTTTGCTTGATTTATTCAAATAAATTTACGTCAAAGGTCTGAAATTTTAAGAAAAATTAGTTGCTTAGTTTTTATTCATAAGGCTCAATGTGATACAAAAAAGTCGATTTCATTTGTAGGTACAAGTCACAATAGAAAAGATAAACAATGAATTCCTTTTATGTGTGAAAGTAAATACGAATACCTTTAGGATAATTTATGGAATGTTGGAGTTCGTTCGTTTTAAAATATTTTTTTTTTTTAATTACCCCTCTCGAAAAGATGATAAAATATGTGTTAAATTCCAATACGAATTATTTTTATTAATATTAAAAAAATTATTAAGTTATTTTATTTTTTTTACTTTAGAAACATATCATATATGTTTATGTCCATTTTTAAATAAATTTAAGGTTTTAAAAAGACAAAATTTGTACTTTTTTCAAAGTAGCCTCACAGGCGAACGTTAGTATTAAAGGAATAAAAAATAAGGTTAGTATTCTAGGGTTAAATCATGTAATGCAGTCAGTAGACTAAGCTATTGTCCATTTATAGCTACTTATTGTAATGCCTTTTACATTACCTGAATGTCACGTATCAACCGCACATTTATAGCTTGTTTCTCGGAGCTTTATGTGGCTGTGTGCGCTGCAATTGAACAAATATATTAAATGACACTCTCACAAGCAGTATGCGATATGCTCACAAATTATAACCAAATTCACGGGCTCCGGTATATAATCGTAATCTTCCATAGGCCTCTGTGCCAGCCAAGTGCTCCGTGGTAGAACAGCGCAAAGTTCCTTTGGTATTTTATACTCTTAAAAGTTAAGGAAATACATTAATTTAAGCTATGGCTAATCATAAAAATGTGATTTGCCAAAATTCAATTAAGCTACATCATGTTGAATATAACGATTGTACACAAAGCGATTAGATATACCATAGCTACATACATATGTATACTAACTTATGCGATCTATGAATGTGTCACGTTTCACACGCTCCTCTTGTTCTTCACTTTCCTCCGTTAAGAGCGATTCGCTTGCATTTCCCCGTGTGGCTACTGATGCAGTTGAAGTTTGTCGTGATATTTCAGGCAAACGCTTCTTAATACGTTGTATAATCTGTATGTTGCCGTTAATATTTGAGACATTGCCGATTCTTACATTTGAAGAGCTCTCAATGTGCACATTTTCCAAAGTTTGCACGCTATTTATGGAATTGAGTAGTTCACGTAGATTTTCTATGACCACAGCCATATCCGTAGGAGCTAAGCAATAGAAAATAATGGAACAAGTGCAGAATAAGGCCCGTTTTTCGAAAATTCACCCCTTAGCCCTCCATAGCACCTACAATAGTTGCGTTCCAGATGCTTCACGATATTCACGATTTGCAGGAACAGCTGTTTTCTCCATTAATAAACCTTATGGAAGGTGGTCACCTGGAACGACTTCCTGTAAAAACCTGCAAATCGTGAAGCATCTGGAACGCAACTAATATAAGTTTGCCGCAAAAATTTGTATAGGTACCATTAGAATTAGAAAACAACACGCCCACTTTTCTGTTTTTTTCTAGCTTAACGGGTCGTATTACGTACGTGTGCGATTATGTGCCTTTGCCCCTCCATAGTCTCGAAAGTATGTTTGCCATGTACGAGGCTAGTAAAGTAGATTAAAAATGAATGCAGTCAGCTCATTATACATCGTTCGTTTAAAGCATTATTCCTTAAGCTTGTTAGACTCCAAAACGTTTCAATATTTCGATCAAAGCTCCCACTGCCTAGAAACATATACATATATTTTCTCTTTGTCATGTCGTCGCTACCATGTCAAACTATCGAATGTGCAAGAATGCTTTTTCATTAACGATAGCTTGCACATGCTTTTAGAATAATACGTAAGTTGGCAAATCGTCGAATTTCTAGTCTTCTTAGAAGCAGAGGATNCGTTCGTTTAAAGCATTATTCCTTAAGCTTGTTAGACTCCAAAACGTTTCAATATTTCGATCAAAGCTCCCACTGCCTAGAAACATATACATATATTTTCTCTTTGTCATGTCGTCGCTACCATGTCAAACTATCGAATGTGCAAGAATGCTTTTTCATTAACGATACCTTGCACATGCTTTTAGAATAATACGTAAGTTGGCAAATCGTCGAATTTCTAGTCTTCTTAGAAGCAGAGGATACTGGCTTTAACAAAGTGTCGAATCCCACACTTTTTCCTAATGACAACAACATTTTTTACAACAGTTTCTGTGCTCTCCTGAAAAGTAACGACTTTTGCATTCGATAGTTTGANATATAAATTTGCCGCAAAAATTTGTATAGGTACCATTAGAATTAGAAAACAACACGCCCACTTTTCTGTTTTTTTCTAGCTTAACGGGTCGTATTACGTACGTGTGCGATTATGTGCCTTTGCCCCTCCATAGTCTCGAAAGTATGTTTGCCATGTACGAGGCTAGTAAAGTAGATTAAAAATGAATGCAGTCAGCTCATTATACATCGTTCGTTTAAAGCATTATTCCTTAAGCTTGTTAGACTCCAAAACGTTTCAATATTTCGATCAAAGCTCCCACTGCCTAGAAACATATACATATATTTTCTCTTTGTCATGTCGTCGCTACCATGTCAAACTATCGAATGTGCAAGAATGCTTTTTCATTAACGATACCTTGCACATGCTTTTAGAATAATACGTAAGTTGGCAAATCGTCGAATTTCTAGTCTTCTTAGAAGCAGAGGATACTGGCTTTAACAAAGTGTCGAATCCCACACTTTTTCCTAATGACAACAACATTTTTTACAACAGTTTCTGTGCTCTCCTGAAAAGTAACGACTTTTGCATTCGATAGTTTGACATGGTAGCGACGATGTATCAAAATTTGTATTACGCGGAAAATTGAATATTACATTTACATTGAAATCCGTGATTTGAAATCAGTCATTTGAAGGCGTTTACACTGCTTGATTTGATTTTCGTTTGACTTCTCATCAATTGAAAAAGGAAAAGAAAAACAAAATGAATGTAAACAAACACTGTACGCCTTATATTTTTTAACACGTTTTGGACACATAAGAGGTAATTATTATTTGCATTAACTAAAAATGTGCGAATTTATGCCTAAATTAACAATTTTTATACACAAACTACCAGACCCGGCGAACTTCGTCCCGCCAAATTTTTTTTTATACCCGAGCGCACTTGTGCACAAGGGTATTATAACTTTGTTCACATAACGGTTGTTTGTAACAGGCAAAACGAATCGAGATAGATATAGACAAATGTATACATAAATGATCAGAATGAAAAGAGAAATCGATTAAGCGGTGACTGTCTGTCCGTCCGTCCGTCCGTCCGTCCGTCCGTCCGTCCGTCTGTGCACACGATAACTCGAGTAAAAATTGAGATATCTTAACGAAACTTGGTACGTGAACTTCTTTTGGGCGTAGGACGGATGGTATTGAAAATGGGCGAAATCGGACAATAACCACGCCTACCTCCCATATAACGGTAATTTTCAGAAATACGAAAACTGCGATATTTTAGTAACTACTGAAGATAATTCACTCAAAATTGATATTTACAATGAGTTTTAGACGAAAAATAAGAATATTAAAAAATTTTGGCAAATGGGCGTAGCCACGCCCACTTATGGTTACATGTGTATATCTTGGTAACCGCTGCACCAATTTCTTCCAAACTTGGCACAGTTGTTGGTCCTGCTACAACATACCAAATGGCCGAAAATTTTTAAAATCGGACAATAACCACGCCCACATCCCATATAACGGTAATTTAGAAAAATACGAAATCCTCGATAAATCAGTAAATATTAAAGCTAATTTATTCAAAATTGATGGTTGCAACAATTTTTTACCAAGAAATACGCTTATGATACAATTTTGGAAAATGGGCGTGGCACCGCCCACTTATGATCACATATATGTATCTCGCTAACCGTTCTAGCAATTTGAACCAAACTCGGTATGGTTATTGTGCTTGTCACATAAAAGCAAAGCGTTGAAAATTATTGAAATCGGACTAAAATTACGACCGCTTTTCATATAACGGTATATTTCAGAAATGCTTGAAACTGCAATATTTCGAAATTTAAGGACGCTAATTTACTTAAAATTTATACACCCCAGCTTATCGTGTAGCGGTAGCTTTCGGAAAGGTGGAAAACATATATTTAATAATTGCGCCGGGTATTTAGTGTTCGGCTCCGCCCGAACTTAGACTTTCTTACTTGTTATGTATTAAGCATTTTCAACGAATTTTGTGAAGAATGTTATCAAACGATCACGCTCGACGCCAACCTGTTTTGCTTTAGTCTGTCAGTGTGCCATTAAAAAAAGTTGAGATTTGAAGCCATTCACGAAAAGACCTATTCAGACAATATTTGTTATATTTTCAAAGGTATACAGCTGTAAAAGGTTTTATTTTACTCTTTAATGTTTAACTAATATGCATATAAATAAATAAGAACAATTTAGTAATCGCTGAAAGTGCAAAATAGAAATGAACTTAAAATGTTACCTTTTTGATAATTACGAGTGGCAGATTTCAAATTGTTACAGTTTATTTCCGAAGAAGAGCACATATTTTTTCAACGCCTAATGCATTTAACAATATTGCATTTGCTATTTGCCATGATCTTTGAAAGCCTCCGTTTTGCGCTGAAAAAGTTATAAGCAAAAAATATACTAAAGGTACCCAAAGTGACACGTCAAATTTGTTATTTTAATTATTTTGATTGCTTATAAGAATTAAAATTGCATTATTAAAATTAAAAAAAAAATTAAATAAGTTATAAGAGCTCGTCACAATTGTTATCAAAATGTCCCAAGCTGTTTATAAAAAGTTAAATTACATTAATAAAATTAGTTTTTGTTGCTTCCGATCGGTTTGGATATGTTACAGAATTTTCTTGATAGGCTAGTCCGATCTAATTATCTTTAGTGCAAATAAAACAAGTTTATTCCACTATTACAGCCCAACGTTTCGCTAAACTTATTAGCATCATCAGGGGCGCGTTTGTTTATTTTTGTCTGTTACAGCAATAAATACAAAATATAAAAAAAGAACATTAAAAACAGCGAAACACAAACAAGTACATACATACATGTACGTATTCACATATAAACATAGTTGGATGACAATAACATATGTAAACAAACAATTCTAACTTGATGCAAGACAATACTCACAGTATTAACACTTAAACATTTCTAAATCTTAATTGCTAAATATCCAATACCATCTTGTGTGGTA